CAAGTCATCCTCAACTCCTTACTCTCTGGCACTCTTCTCATATCCCACATGTTGCCAAAGCCTCTCGGTTTTACCTTTGTAACATCTCGCACATATCTTCCCTCCTCTGTCACTGTCACTACCCTGGTGCAGCCGTCACCACAGCCTTATACTCAGACTTGCGGCAGCCTGCTAGTGAGTCTGTCTGCCTCAGATCTCTCTCCACTCTAGTCTATCCTCCTCTCCACTGTTGAAGTGATCTTCTAAAGCAAAGGTCTGAGCAAATCACTCCCTTATTCAGTAAATTCCAGTATCTCCTTATGGCCTCCAGGATCAGATAAAAAAATCTGTCGGGCATTTAAAGTTCTTCATAACCTGACACCACCTCTTCCAGTCTCCCCTCCCCCCTTCTAGTCTTCTTATCCCATATAACCTATGTCTTCTTCAATCCAGTAATACTGGCCTCCTTACTGTTCCTTAAACAAAACACTTCATCTGCCAGCTCCAGGCATTTTCCCTGATATTCCCCAACGCCTGGAATGCCTTCTCGTCTCATCTCCATCTTCTAGCTTCCTTCAAGTCCCAGCCAAAATCCTGTGATTTATCCTATAGATAGCTTGTTTGTAGATAGTTGTTTTCATCTTGGCTTCCCCCATTAGGTTGTGAGCACCTTGAACAGAAACTGTCTTGTGCTTCCTTTTCTATCCCCAGCACGTTAGCACAATGGTCAGCACAGAGTGGATGCTTAATGTTTATCAATTAACAACTATAAGAACATTATATCATATATTTAGGACTTGCTAAACTGACATCAACTGGCGTATTATACTAAAATGAAATAGAGTATGTGCTTTTTAGGAGGAAAGGGAATTAGAGGACAGTTCTTTACCTCTCTTTGGAGTCTTGACTAGATTGGTACCATCCTTAAATTTTCAAAAGAATCTATCACATGAGGATTTTTTATTTTTTTCCTTGAAATTTAAAAGAATTTCAGTAGATTATTAGCACCCTTTTCAAATAACATTTTTTGAAAAATTATAATTCTTTTAATAAAAGTTCTCTTTCCCATCATTTTCTAGTACTGTTAGAACTTGAATGCAGAGATTTAGTTTGTGCAAGTCTGGAGAGGCCAAATCACAGACTGTGACAGGGAGACTTCACTGAACCCCCTCTAAGGGATTTGTTGCTGCTGTTTCCTGATGAGTTTGGTAGGCCCCATGTGAGCCTCTCTCTTTCCACCTAAAAGGATGAGTGTTTGTAATGGCTTCCTAACAAGCTCTGAAGACAGACAGGCCTCTTGGTGCTGACTTTGATTTGACAGGTGCTGGATCAGAGACTCCTAGAGTTACCAAAACATGAAGTTTGCTCTTACAAGCTTTCTTCTATTTCTTCCCCACCAGGGCTGGGTCTGACCTTAGTGCCTTTCTTTTTGTTTTCTTTAGCTTTTCTTTTTTTTCCTAGGGCAAAATTTTTATCATCTTCCCCCTCCCTTAGCTGAAATGACATTTACCCTTGGAATCTTATTCAGGCTTACTTCGCATTTGTTTCCCTCAGTTTTCTGTAAATGACCTCATCTGTTGTATCATAACTTTGATAGGGCTTTTCTTTGCCTGTGACTCGTATGAGAATGAGCTTCCTCAGTAATCTATTCAGATCTTGCCGGAGATTCCTTCACTGATCTCTCTAAGTCTCCCTGATGGAGCTTGTCATCCAAGGCCATCCTTTTGTTAGGACTTCGAACTTTAAGTATTCTTCTTTGTGGCCATTTTCAGATTTTAGTTTCTCTCATTTTTTCTCCATTAGTGTTTTTTGTTTAAAGTTCTTGTTGTTCAGGGGCAGCTAGGTGTCACAGTGAATAGAGCACCGGCCCTGAAGTCAGGAGGACCTGAGTTCAAATCCGGCCTTAGTCCAAACACTTGACACTTACTAGCTGTGTGACCCTGGGCAAGTCACTTAACCCCAACTGCCTAAGCAAAAAAAAAAAAAAGTTCTTGTTGTTCATCCTTCATTCTCAAAGGGGATCGGTGACATCAGGAGGGTGATGTCTTGACTTGCAAGTAAATTGGATTTAAGTGAGGCAGGGCTGTGCAAAGAGCCCCATTCTCCTGCAGAGTCATTGGAGTCCAGTGGCAGGACATAGGTCAGGATGATTGGCAGTGGCCCAGGATGCAGTGGGAGACCTTGGCCTTTTTTTTTTTAATTAATTAATTTTTAGTTTTCAGCATTCACTTGCATAAGATTTTGAGTTCTAAATTTTCTCCCCCTCCCTCCCCTCTCCCTACGATGGCGTGTAATCTGATATAGGCTCTACATACACGTTCATATTAAACATTTTCACATTAGTCATGTTATAAAGAATTAGAACCAATGGGAGAAACCATGAGAAAGAAAAAAACAAAAACAGAAAAAGAGCAAATAGTATGCTTCAATCTGCATTCAAACTCCATAGTTCTTTTTCTGGATGTAGATAGTATTTTCCATCATGAGTCTTTTGGAGATGTCTTAGATCTTTGCATTGCTGAGAAGAGCTAAATCTATCAAAGTAAGTCATCACACAATGTGGCTGTTACTATGTACAATGTTCTCCTGGTTCTGCTGTCTTCACTCAGCATCAGTTCATGTAAGTCTTTCCAGATTTTCCTGAAGTCTCCCTGCTCATCATTTCTTATGAAGCAACAGTATTCCATTACATTCATATACCACAAGTTGTTCAGCTGTTCCCCATTTGATGGGCATCCCCTCAATTTCCAATTCTTGGCCACCACAAAAAGAACTGCTATACATATTTTTGTACATGTGGGAGACCTTGGCCTTTTTAAGCTAAGGTCTTTCCCAGCTCTCAGTTTGTCTGAGGCAACACCCAGTCAGTAGTTAAAGGCTAGGAAAGAATTGAGGTAAAAGATGGTCTACTTTGCCTTCACAAAATAATCAGGGAGGGGAAGACCTTTAGAGTTTCTGGCTGGAATAGAAATTATTGCTCTTTACACTCACTGTGAGCCATCAAAACCCAAATAATGAGCCTGTTTAAAAAGTTATAACAGTCCAAGAAAGAAGTTCATCATCATCATTATCAAAATCCCCGTATTGTGAGTAATTAATTGTCTGGTTTTTTCTCTCTCTCTTTTTTTTTTCTTTAATGTGTGTACTTTTATTTGAACTGGTCTTAAGTCAATACAGATAAAGCTCCTCTCCTCCTCCAACTGTAGGCACTGATCTTGTGGAATTCTTGGGGAATCCATAAAAAGCCTTCATTCTCCTTTATATTGGTGATCAAGGAGGGAGAGGAAGGCTCTACCATGGCCCTAACAATTTTTAAAGAGGAAAAAATATCGAGGCAGAAGATAACAAAAAGTTTTGGTTTTTAAGGGTTACCTAATTTACATGTAAGCAGTCTCCCCATACCCCCCCCTTTTTTTTTTGATGAGGCAGTTGGAGTTAAGTGACTTGCCCAGGGTCACACAACTAGTAATTGTTAAATGTCTGAGGTCAGATTTAAATTCAGGTCCTCCTGATTCCAAGGCTGGAGCTCTATCCACTGCACCACCTAGCTGCCCTTTTGTGTGTGTGTGTGTGTGTGTGTGTGTGTGTGTGTGTGTGTGTGTGT